CATACATGGCAGCATGACAGGACAGAAAAACAGAACACTAATAAACCTATGATATGAACAATCATCAAGCAATTCAAAATCTAGTCCCTCCAATTTTATTACTCTCACTTTTTGCAATCCAGTTTTACAAATACTTAACAGCATGTCTACGCAGATAGGTTCCAGACAGAGCTGAACTTGCTCTGACTAAACCAATCTGTTCAAACCTGTTGGCACAGATGCATCTTGATGCGTGTGTATACCACTACTTACCCAAGGAGCTGCACAGATACCGAAGTTGCTCAGTGAGCAGCGTGAGCTGCTTGTGAGATACGATTATTAGTGCTGATGATGCAGCTCCAGCAGATCAGATAATACTAAGAAACACAGCTTCACCAGCATGCCAAGGGAAAAGAAAAACTGTGGAAAGTTATGTATCACCTTCCATACCACCTATTTTTGCCTACAAGCAATAGCTCATACCAACACCCACCACAACTTATGGGCCACCGTCTTACTGCACTCATTCTAAAAATCAAGTTGCTCTGTTCCTTAGAATTGAGATCAGTAAGGTTCCTTGTCATACTTAAAATAACTTAAAGCAGATTATACACTTCAGTCTATGTATTTTCTAGGTATTTTCACATATAGCAATAAATTGACTCCTTAAGGACCATGTCTTCTCAGCTTTGAAGCTGGAACTTAGTTCAAGGTAGTGGTCAGTGAAAACTCTACCACATCCAAACCCATATGATACTCTAATTTTCATCCAGAAGGAAAATTTCTAGATCTAATACTATAAACTGTTATTAGCTTATAAGGGTTTTATATGCCTAGGCTAAAGTTTAGTGTACTAAACCTAAGATATTTCCTAAGGAGCATCACCTGTGCTCCTCAGATGCAAATTTGTTTCAGGTGTGTTGAGGGTTTCACAAAATGGTGAAAGCCTCAGCACACCTGAGACAACTCCAACCGGTAAAGAAGGTTGCAGGGGTTTTCTTTCACCCTTCCCACATTTTTGCAAACCGTATGTATCTTAGCACCTCAAACACATCAGTCTTCGAGTGACAGAATTTGTAGGCAGACCCGTGCTACTGTCCCAGGCAACAACTGAAAGGCGTGCTGCCCAGTCCCACTTTCTGTTCTCCCCAGTGGTCCCAACTATGGACACGCCCCTCCGTACCCAAATCCATGAAGAATGTCGGCTGAAGAAAGCGGCTCTGTGCCTTTTGTACCTGGGGAGCTACACATGAACACACAGTGACCCACTGGCTGCTCCTCCTAGCTGAAACTGCCACTTTAAGTCAAAATCAGTGTTCTCCTATCGTCCCTTGAGAACTCAATTCCTAGGAACCCACATTCCAACAGAGCTAGAAAGGCTGTTTCTAACACTTTTAAAAGCGGGCTTAGTCTCAGTATTAAATTTTTTTTTCCTCTCATAAAAGTGATCTTGCCAAAATCAAGCAAAAATCCTCAACTCAAACCAACCTACAAACCAAACAAATAGGAAATAAAAAAGAAAGCGGGGAGTGGAGAGTGAGTTTGTTTCCCCATCTGCCAGCAGTCCCTAGGACAACGAGCAAGCGTGAGGCAGTTCGGGCGGTGTGGAGAAAGGGAAATCTCTTCAAACTCTTAACGTGCTTTTTGTCAACTTCCCGTAACTACGTTTCTTTTTTTTTTTTTTTTTTTTTTTTTTTCCCCCCCGTGACCGTGTCTGAACACTCAAGGGCCCCGCTGGAAAAGTCAGCCCTCGCAGCTGGGCACTAGGACTGTAAACAACAAACCAGGGAAGAAACCCTCGACAAAACACGGCAGCGTGTGCGCACACCCACCACCCCTGAGTCACCCGTCCCCCAGAGACACGGCTAGCTTCTTGTCACGTTAAAAACACCCGCCCTTCGCCAGCTTGTCCCTCACAGCTGCACAGGCGCGAACCGAACGGGACACAATCGAAGGGCCGCCGCCGGCAACGCGGCGGGAAGGTGGCCCGTGAGGGAGGAAGGGCGGGCGAGTGCGCTCGCCTACCTCAACCCCACGGGGGGCGGTTGGCCGGCCAGTAACGGCCCGGCTCGCGCTGCCGCCGGCGGGCGCTCAGTTCAGCGCCGCGCGGAACACCACCTCGCCTCAGCTCAGCGTGGGCCCGCGGCGCCCACCACAGCAACCGACAGCCCTAACACAACCTAGCCGGCGGCCCCACACCGGGGCCTTGTCAACTGACGTGACGCGCCAGCCGCTACCCCCCCCCCCCCCCCCCGTTCCCCTTTCAGGACGTAACAGCTGTTTTATCTCCAGCAAGGTCGCGGTAATTGCGGCACATAAAAATAGTTACAAGGTACTGGGGGGGAAGGGTCTGTTAAAATGCTGTTGCTTCCCGTTTGGCTGTGAATGCGCGTTTGTGTGGATGCCCGCGCCGCCAGAGCGGGAGGGCGGGGGAAGGAAGGAAGGAAGGAGGGAGCTCTGCACTGCCGTAGGGATTCATTATTTCATCAGCCGTTTAAAGCGTTTGCTTGCTTTCCCCCCCCCACTCCGAGCTCCTACTCGCCCGCCAACGGCCCAGCACGTGGCGGTGTGGGACCGATACAAACGCGTTTGTGGGGCACGGCAGTTTGTTTTCCTTTCCATGCCGAAACCTTCCCGTGTCACCAGTCAGCCCAGAGCTCGGCACTTTGAAGTCCGAGCCCGGCGCCGAAGGGTCCCCCCTCGTATCTCCCCTTTGCTGGGGCGGGGGAGCTCGACTCGCCGGCCCCGCGTTTCCCATCCCGGAGGAAAATAAACTGTTGCTGCAACGCGTGCTCGCCTCTTAGGGACGAGTCAGGATGGGAGGGTGTTCGCTTTCACAGCTACGAGCATGTGTCACAGCAACATCCACCGGGCTGGGAGCTTGAGGGGAGGAAAAACAAGCTTTACGAGCTGATGTATAAATAACCCCAGAAACGGGGCTCGCCTTCCCCGCGGGAGAAGCAGGCCACCGCCAGAAGGACGGGGCTCGTTCGGTGCCATCGGGGGATTGCGGGTGGGGTGCGAAGCACCGGCCGCCAGGGCCCTGAGGGGGTACTGGGTAGGGGAGCCAGCGGGGCCGCTCGTCTTTGGAAAGCTTCTTCTGCGCTACTGTCCTCTTTTTCTTCTCTTTATTCAGGCGAAGGAGTGGGTGGTTCGTCCGGCAGCAACAGGAGGAGGCTAGTCAAGGGCAGCTGTCAAAATCTCCCTCCCCCGCCCCCTTCTCCTTCCAGTTTAATGATCAAACGTCTGACTGGAAGAAAGGCGAGGGAGCGAGAGGCACGGAGTGCTCTTGTGTGTGCATGAGCAAGCGGGTACGTTTCCCCCCCCTCCCCGGCCCGTCCCTCCCCTGCCGTCTGACAGAGCCACAGCAGCCCGGGAGGGGAGGAGAAAGGAGGAGGAGGAGGCAGCCGCGAGTGCCAGTGCAGCGCTCGGTTACTCTCCCGTACTCGCTGCGGGGAGGAGGGGGAGGGCGGGCGTTGTGTACCTTTTCCTCCTGTGCTTTTCCTCACTTTAACAAGCCGGGGCCAGTAGCCAGCAGAAGGGAACAAAGGGACGGGAGAAGGAAAGCCCACCCCGGCAGCGGCCGCACCAGAAAACCCCCGGGGAGGCAGAGCCCTGAGGCTGCTGGTGACAGCAGCACGGCCCTGGACTGGGTGCCTGGCTCCGCTGCGGTGTTTCTTCTTCTTCCTTCGTCGTCGTCTTTCTCCTCCTCCGTGCCGAGTTTAAAGGGGGAGCGGCGTCCGGCAAAGGGAGAGAAACTTGGGTCAGTGTGCTGAGTGTCCGGCGGTCCCCGCGATCAAGATGAAAAGTAAAAAAGGTAGCGGTGGTGCGGCGTGCTCGGCAGCCAGAGAGAGCGGGGTCTCTTGCGGGGACGGGTTTCGGGGATGGAGGTGAAAGGGGGGGGGGGCATTGCCAAGCTAGACGGAGCCTGTTTTCCCTCTCGGCCGTTTTTACCCCAGTGGTACCCCCTACCCTTGGCCGAGCTCCCGTAGAAGATGGCAGTGGATGCTTCGCTCCCAGACAAAACATGCGGGGCTGTTGTTTGGAGGCGGCCGCCTCTCCGCGCCGCTGGCTCCCTGTCAAAAACATGTTCAGCCGCCTGCCTTTTGCCTCCGCGAAGTTTTGTTTTCGTTCCCTTCGCCGATATCCTCTCCATTAAAACGCTTTCTGTCGCTTAAATGCTCCAAGCCCGCCGTCCGGCAATGGGGGAACGAAGGTGCGGGTCATTTTTTCCAACTTGGGTGTGAGGGATGCGGTGCCGTCCTCAACTCTTAGCACCGGGACCTGTCGGCGCCCGGCAGCTCTTTGTTCATGGCAGCGTGGGTCTGGGGGCCGGCGGTGGGGTTCAGCCTGAGGGTACCAGACCCCATCCGCACCCTCGGCTGCGGTGTTTTACTGGAAGTTACTGCCTTTTCATTCCTTTAAATGGGGAAAAGAGAAACAAAAACAAAAGTTTCGGTACAGGTAGGGTTAAAAGGAGAAAGACTTGTTTTTTCCTCATAAAGCCAAGGCTTTTTAAGTTTTCTTTGTGTTAATTTTCAATCAGACAAACTTTACAGTTAGAGGATTGTTGTTCATTATGCTTGTGGTGCTTTAAGTGTCTTTAAATTAGAGCTTGGCCACAAAGGCGCGGAACGTGCTTTCAGGTTTAACACGTCTGCGCTGGCTGGAAAGTTTATAGCAACGCAGTGTCTCTTCAGTTGCGATTTGCCAGCCGGTAGTGTGGGACGAAGGGTGTTTTGTATTCGAAGACCATTAAATTACCCGAAGTGGAGGGTTAGAGGGGAGCAGTGCGCATGTTCAGTACTCCAGAGTTCTGTTTCTGCCCTACTACGCATTCCTGCGGCTCTATAGTAGAGCAGCCTAGCTCATTGTTAGTATCCTTACAGCAGTTAATGCATTTACAGTTCGTGAAATCATAGGGCTGTTGGAAACATCGGTGTACTAGTACGGTTTGTAGACCCTCTTAAGAAGTTTTTGAAGCGCCGTTCAGCAGAGAGGCGAACACACAAAGGGAATTAAGCCACAAAAACGAAGTTTAAGGAGCGGGTGATAACTGGCGCGAGCGGAGCTCCTGCAGGACAGGAGCCGGGTGCCTGTCCGGGATGGTAGTGTGGGGCTGCTGTGCCTGGAGACACGAACCGCAGGAGCTCCGGAACCCTCCATTCGCCCGAGGCGGGCTGAGATTGTTAACCCTGTTGCTAGCAGGAGGGTTTGGTTGGGATTTTACTGATTTTTTTCTTGGTTTCAGTGAATTAATTTAGCCCAGTTATTTTTAGGACATTCCTATGCTCCCTATTTGCACAGCAGTGGTGAGCTGGTTTCCTGTCTGCTGTTGCTTCCATTGTTCAGACTTCTTTCCCCGAGGGCAGCTGCTGGTTGGTGAAATACCAAACTCTCCGCACTTTCAACTGTTGTTCTTACCAGCCCCCCTCCCCCCGCCGAAATAAATGCCTGCGAAAAACGCTGACGTAGTTTCTAGGTATGCATGTGGAGGGCTTTGTGTGTGTATCTCTGTGTGAGAGAGGGAGAGATCTGCTTTGAGGATTGCAAGTCCTGGGCTGAAACAATGGAAACAATGAAAGGTGACAGGCAGGAGGGAGAACTGTTGAGAGGGGCCATGGGCCTGGGGTTTGCGTGGCAGAAATTAAAAGGTGAGGAGACAAAGACCAAAACTTTTAGAAAGATGTTACGGCTAGGGTGCCTTTGTTTTATTAAAGGTTGGGCTTGTAGTTATTTGTGACCTCCTGGCATTTGAGGCACATTCAAGAAGTTTCAAAGAGTGACTTTGTTAGAGCTTTCTTGCTTACACTCCTATAAAAGTCTCGTTTCAAGGGGGAGGACAGGCGGGGGGCGGGGGGAAGGAAAAAAGTATTGCACAGTCAAATCTGGCCGCTTTAGAAGTGATAGAGCGTAAGCTGTGAAACGCAGAGGAAAACAAATAAGCTGGTTCCTCAAATCTGAAACTTAAGAGGAAAAAGTTGCTTGGCCTTTTTTCTTTTTTTCTTTTTTTTTTTTTTTTTTAATAATGTGGAAATTCCCTTTTGCATCCTTGTAGCTTTGTAGGTCTTGGTTACTTATGAGTAATTCTAGGCTAATTTATTTTTGTTGTTGGATTTTAAATTCACATTAAACTTTAGTTAGGTATTTTGTTTGTGTGTGGGATTTTGTTATTGTTTGGGGGGTGTTTTTGTCGTGGGGCTTATTTTCCTTTTTTTTTTTTTTTTTTTGTCCTAACAGGCTGTGTATTAAAACCCTGAGGACTCTTGTGGAGAGTTTCATTTACAAATAATAACGTGATAGCAATCATACTTGTTAATTAGCTGATCTAGAATACAGTCTCGCAAAGACACAGGCATGTGCTCAAGTTTATACATGTGAGGAATCCTACTGAACTTGGTTACAACAGGATTGGGGCCTTAGATGGGAACTGGCTTTGTTTATCTGTGCTTAAGAAATTCAGAGAACCCTAAGGGGGTGGGAGGTTTTCCATAGGTGATTTTTGTCCATCCACTCTTTGGAGGGCAGAGATTGTTCCTTGTGGTATACTTTGTCCTGTTTCGAATAATAATTGGATTCTGCCACTTCCTCTGTGAAGCTCTTCCTCGACACAATAGGATAGTTGTTGGGGTTTTTTCCTGATACTCTGCCTAAATTTTTTTTCATTTGCTTAACTTCTATTTCATTTGTCTCAGCCTCTCCAAATACTTTGTCCTCCTCCTCAAAGTATTTCAGCATGTCATTTTAAGCAGCAGTAGATTATTTTGAAATCAGCTTTAGTCATCACTGCGCTCTACTTCTACTCGAGTTGTTTCAAGTTGTTAACGGTTGGGTGTTGAGCCTAGACTCGAGATCCTAGGTGTAATCTTCCCTGAGCTGATTACAGGAGCACCTGTAAAGTCTTTGGGCTGTGATACAATGCAACAGCACATTCAATCATGTATATGACTTCAGCTGGAAGCCAGGAGGATAAAGTAATTTATAAAGAAGGGATGCTGATCATGTAGTTCTTGGGTCATTAACAGCATGGACTGCTCATCTGAGAGAGCAGGAATGGAGAACTGGGATTTTGTATTGTTTCCCAGACCTCTGCAAATTAACTTGTGGTGCTTAATTTGGTCCTGTAAAAGCAGTTTTTCTGTTTGTTTTCTCCATAATACATTTAATAAAAAATAACCTGATGCTAGCCTGCTATTAAGACAAAATAAATCAGTAGGTCAGCTGGGGCTACACGTTATGTCCACAAGCCTTTATTCTGGGTGTAAATAACAGTAAGCCGATGGTCCAGTCGTGGAGCCTGGCCAGAAGCCTTTTCAGTTGGGCCCTGTTAAAACAGGAAACCAGCAGCAAATAGCCTGATTACTAACAAGACAGAAAAACAAAGCTGGGTTGTGATCAGCAGAAATGCTTTAATGAAAACAGAGCCTTGACAGCAACAACGTGGCTCCTGCTCCAGTAAAAAATATATCAGCTGAGGTAGTGCGAGATTTCTAGTCATGACTTCCTGTTGCTGCTCATTCTGTACCGTGCCAGATCTCCCGCAAGTTCACAGGGCTGATGATCTATTTAAATGAGCTCATTTAAATGAGGAGAAGTTGTACTACACTGAGTTTCCTGCTTAGCCAAAACCTGCTTTGTGTCACTAACTTACTGTGTCAATTAATATAACACACTAAGTGAGCAGGTCAAAGGGCAGGCTCTCCTGTTGACTCATTTCTTGCTAGGTAGGTTACAGTTAGATGGCAACTTTTACTTTATCAAAAGATCTTGTTTGCAAAATAGAAAAACATTTTTGTGCTGCTGGCATTCACACAGTATTTTGCCACTTCTGAGTGAAAAAGAGCAGCAGTTCTAGAAGTTGTGCCTGTCAAATCAGTTTTCTCAAATTCAGAGAGATGTCTGTGGAGTCTTTTAGCTGTGGGCTAGATCTTGGAGAAGTTACCCCAGACAGGGTGGTGTGTGCCTGGAGTGTTTTTTTTGTTATGCTGCTTAAACATGGCTCTCAAAGCGTTAGACACCGAACTTTCTCATAGGAGAAGCTTCTTTGGCTTCTCTTCCCTCTTATTTCCAGCCCTTGCTGTTGGCCTCTCCCTGTTTTCCAAAGTCCTGACTTGCTGCTTATTATACTTAAAAACAAACAAAAAACCCAACCCACTGAAGTGCTGCAACACATACGGTTTCTGACGAACAAGAAACACTGCACTTGAAAACATTTGTCTGAACAGTGTAGGCTAGTTTTAGCTAGTTTTAAAGTTCAATTTAAAAGGGATGAGCTCCTTTGCAGAGCCGTCATGTTGTCTGTGCAGGATCTTTGTTCCAAGAAGTGCTCTGCATGGCTCCAGGAGCCCATTGTGCAAGGCATGTTCTCAGGTTAGGTTGCAGGCATGACAACACTTTCTGTGAAGCTATGACAAATACAAAGTGGTTTGCTCAGAATCATTTTAAAGTAAACTTGACATACTTTCTACATGAGTTAAAAACCTGTTTACATAATTCAGAGTTTATCTTGTGTTGGCTACTTAAATATTGTGCTATTGTTCCTGTTCCGTGACTGGATAATTTATGTAGCTAATCATCACTGGAAAAATTTGGTATGTCAGTTTGGTGTTTGTCGGTTACATAAATCAGCAGTTGGGAGAATGAAAACAATACTAAGTAAGTTACTGAAGTAACTATGCCAGACAAATTGCAGATTGATGATCCTGCTGGGAATGCTTGCCTACCAAAAATGTGCATTGAAATTTGGACAGTTTAAGCTGCATTTAAGGATGTTGGCACTATTCGTAAATAGGGGAAGGAAAGAATAATTCCCCGTGTCATCTTTCGCTAAAGTTTACATGTGTGGGGAAAGGTCCTCCTCCGCTCCACTCCCCATCCCCCAAGTATTAAGTAAAGCTTGCAGACTCACACCTTTGTGTTTTGGTTTGGTTTTTGAGTTTGGGTTTTTTTAGGGGGGTTGTTTGGTTGTGGGTTTTTTTTTCTTAAATGGCATTAATTCCTTCTGCTTCTTTGCTTATGGATATAATTATAGCTTTATATAGTTTCATATTTTCATGGGCATGTTTCTTTTATTTCAAAGCTGACTTTGTTTCTTTAAACAGGATTTTTGAATTATGGGTGGGTTGCCTACATAAAACAATTACTTTTGACATTTAACTTGCTTTTACTGTTAAGGTATTTAGTTTCGATGTTATGAATGAGCAGGTTTCCTCCACCCCCAAACCCCAGTCTAAGTTCGAAACACAGATTAAGGGCTTGTTTTCCTTACATAGTTTTTAGAAAGGGCTTATGAAAACCAGTATAATTTCAATTGAATTTAGTATTCTACTGTTCGAAAATGGGTGGTATCTTACTTGGGCTGACATATAGTTTGTCAGATTGCTAACATTTCTGGTAAGCTTAACCTGGTGAGTATTTAAAGTATGGTTTTCTTTGTATTGTGCAGTACTACTTGTATATCCTACCAAAGAAGTAGAATTGTAGTCTTCCTGACTGTACTTTTGTTTGTCATAATTACATACCATAGCTTGATGTTACTAGTTGTGTGGTGTATATATAAAGGGGGGATAATCAAATTCTAAAATCTGTTCTTTGCTTTGTGTTGAAGGAAAGATACGTAGTTAACTTGTAAATCTGGAGCCTTTGTAGTAAGTGTAGCACAGAACACACATTTCCACAGATTAAAATACCAGATGAAAACCATGAAGTTGAAAAAATAATCAGGATGCAAAATGGTACTTAAAGAAACAAACCAGCCCACTCAAACATTAATTAAGTTAATCTCCCAGTCAACTGATGGACTCTTAAACAACTGATTCTTTTATTTGCCTACACTTTTTGTTTCCTTTCTAAGTGAAAATCCACCCTGGTAGGGGCAGGCACGATTTCCCCCTTTATTCTTTTTTTGAGCCATTAGTTTTTATTCGTATATTTTGAATGAGCTGTAAATATACGAAATCTTCAAGCTGTCTTTCCCAGGAGGGAAGCATCAGCATGTTAAGAAGAAATTAAATAACCCATTGCTTGAGTTGGTTGTTTTAAGTTCTTGCTTATTGACCTTTTGCCCAGCAGCTGGATAGTTATCCTTTAAGAAAAGTGTCGGATACATACCATAGCAAGCAAATTTGGACAGTGTTGGTATTAGATAGAAGCTATCTGATAACATGCAGCAGATAAAAGGTTGCTAGGGGAGCAAGAAAATGAGGGTTTGAAGAGAAGAATTCCTTTAGGAACAGAGCATTGGTGCTACTTTTTGTTCAACTGACAGAAAAGCTACAGCTTGTCAAGTTAACGCTGCAGGACAAATCTTATATAGGAGGCTATACATATCATGATTCATAGTAAAGACAGTTAATGTAATAAAAATGTGAGAACCACAGAATGCTAGAGCTAAGTAGTTTACCGATTTAGACGGCTGATTGTTCTTGTCTTGTAATTGTAGGTGTAGTTGCAATATCGGGCAGTGAAACGGAGGATGATGACACTATGGATGTCCCGTTGGATCTTTCCTCATCTGCTGGCTCAGGCAAGCGGAGAAGACGTGGCAACCTGCCCAAGGAATCTGTGCAGATTCTTCGGGACTGGCTGTATGAGCACCGATACAATGCTTATCCTTCAGAGCAAGAAAAAGCCCTGTTGTCCCGGCAAACACACCTTTCCACACTACAGGTATTAAAAATAGCAGTACTGGCTTCACAAGGAGTTGTTTTCTTAATTTACCTGTGGTCTAGTCACTATTGCAAATGTTTACACTGCATGTGAGATTTTCTTTCTTCTTGTTACTCGCTCTCATTCTGATGGCAATTCTAGGGAGAAACACAAATCAGTTGTGTGTTATGATGATCTTTTGTTTACTAGGGTAAAATTACTTCTCTGGGAGAACAGTCAGTCATGAATTTGAACGTGCATGCTAACTTGTGCAGAATTGGGCCCCAAAAGACACAAAGTGTCTGTATAAAGGAAATTATTGTGAGAAGGTGGTAGGTATTTACTTGTCAACAGGTTTTATGGTGATAGATTCGCCACTTAACCTAGAATTCCTCACTACTAAAACTGCAACTTGAGACTTGTTTCTGCAGAACATGTACGTACATTATTACATATCTGATGACTTCCATTAACATTAGTGGAGAAACCTGTGTTAGTATAGGTATGATGAGACTTTTGTGTGGTTAGTTTGGATTCTTATCCTGGGATACCACTAACAGCTGCAGGGTCCCTTGGATGCATCATTCTTGCCTTCTGTGATGACCTTTGGTGGAATAGCTGTTGACAGTTGCTGCTTCCCACCTCTTGGGAAGGTGGCTGCATGAAAACTTGGGTTGACCCTGGTTTGGTTTTTGCGAGGTGCTAAATACAAATATGCTCCTGCTGAGTTCTGAGTTTTATTTTTCCAGATGATTTCTTTAGTACAAATTTTGTAATTGGCTATAAAGTAAGATTTTCTTAGTGTAACATCATAAAACTTCCTTTATGTAGTAAACAGAAAAAAAGACGTTAAACTATAAACTATCCTGTATTGGCCAGGAAACTGGTTTGATATTTAAACAAGGACAAACTTAAATGAGGTAATTCATGTTATGTCTGTCGACACAGTCAGTTGAACAAGGAAAATCAGTAACTGTTTGTGGGAGGAGTGACTCTCTTCAGAGAGAAAATGTTTTCCTGTTGTTAATTAACCTAAGCATAGGGAACAATAGCCAATAGGTTAATGTGTGTGCACAGAGTTAAAAGCTAAACCCTCTATTTCAGGTTAGAAGTCTCCAGATGTCCCCAGGCTTTCTGTAACAGGAGTGGGGAGCCAGCGGTAGAGCTGGGACAAGGGAAGGGCTTTTGCCAGGCGTGTCAGAACTTGTCAGTAGGCCTCTCTTTTGTTCTGCAGTTAAGGAAACTGCTTGGAGGGATTCATTAATCTTATCCAACTATTCTAATGGCACATAGTTGGAAATGAATGAAGATAGAAATTAAGATGTCATTATATTCCCAGGTCTGCAACTGGTTTATCAATGCACGCCGCAGGCTTCTACCTGACATGCTGAGGAAGGATGGCAAAGACCCAAATCAGTTCACTATCTCACGGCGAGGGACCAAGCTCCCCGAGGGTGGCCTGATAGAGTCTTCCATCAGCACAAAGAACTACATTCCCCTGCTGGAGGAGACTGCCTTCCTTCCCTCTGCAGCACCGCTTGGCAAGACTATCTCCTCTTCCAAGCCAGCTTCCCCAGGATCAGTCCTGGCTCGGCCATCGGTGATTTGCCACACGACTGTGACTGCATTGAAAGATGCCCCTTTCCACTTTTGCCAGCCAGCTGATGTAGGCCAGACCACAGACCTGCAGCAGCCCCCCACCAACAGCTTCACAGACAACCCCCTCTCCTACCATGAGGACGCATCTAAACTGGGACCTGGTGCGAATGCACAAAGTGGGCTCTTTAACACTCCTCCTCCAACCCCACCAGACCTTAACCAGGATTTTAGCGGATTTCAGCTACTGGTGGATGTTGCACTCAAAAGGGCGGCAGAGATGGAGTTGCAGGCAAAACTTATGGCTTAAATCCCCTCTGTTCTCCTTCCCATTTTGTTTTTCCAGGCAGGGATCTAACAGCTGTGTGGTTATTACCACCCACATGATATCAAAAGACTTCACAGCATTATTATTATTTTTTTTATTAATCTTATTTGCACAAGGGATTGCTGAAATGAAGCTTCCTGTCACTGAGTTGGTTTTCAGTGGAATATGGTCATTCCAAGAATTATAAACTTAAAGCTACTGTAGAAGAAAGGACTGTGTGTTGGTTTTGTTTTTTTTGTTTTGTTCTTAATGTTTTCTTCATAGGTTTTTCATAATGTGAGATAGTTCCCAAGATCATGTGATTTGTTTTTTCTTTCAGACTGTGCAATATCTAGTAATGATATAGAGTCTTCTTATCATTCCCATGTGGAACAGAATATACCGACATGCTGTTTAAAATAAATTTTCAATTTTTTTAACAATATGAACTTGGATGATTATGCTTTTTTTCCCATAATGTAATAAAATATTTTCTTTACAAATGGATGCCTACAGAGTTATTTTGTTGAATATGAGCTTTGCAGAAAACACAGTTGTACTTTTGAAATAAATGGAAGTGATAAATATTTTTGAGCTCATACTGGCTTTGGTTTTACCAGAGCTGCACTAGCAGTTATTGTTAACCAGGTATTTAAAGGAATGCAGGAAAGTGGGACAGAAGTACCTGAGTGTGTTCTACTGTGTTGAATTTTTTCTAAAGGGGCCAAAGGGAACTGTGTTGGCATCGCTCATTAAATTCCAAGGGGATATCTTAGGCCTCTCTAAGTTTTCATGTTTTAGTTCCTAGAAATACCTTAGGGTTGGGAGATGTGGGGAAGTTCTGAAGATTAAATGGGAAGGCCAAAAGGGGGTTTGGAGCAAGCGTCTTTGTGATGCAGCTCCTCGACATCGCTAATGACAGATTTTTAGGGCAGGGCAAGGGCTCCCACTCTTATCCTTGGACTATCAATAATAAGGTTTTGACTCAGTAATTCTAGTAGACTGAAATAGAAGAGACTGTACTGAGTTGAAATCCTGAGTTTTGGGAGCCAGGTCTTGATGAGATGCTTAAATGGGTGGTTGACTAAGATTTCAAAGAGATTCCTCTTGTTTTGGGATGTATTTTGGACAACAGAATCTAAAGTTACCCTTCAGAAAAAGACTTGGCTATCAATATTATTACTAAGTAATGTGAAGACTTGCAGATCACATCTCAACTTACTTGAATGTCAGTCACTTACCCTTGTCCTTCCAACAACAGTGAAATAAGAGACCTCAAGGGGAAAAAAATCAGTTCTGGCTAATCCTTAAAAACAAACCAGTTGTCTGGGAGGCTGGGAGAGGGCTTTGTGCAGGAGGAGAGCTGATGAGTGTAAGGGTATCATTATGAGTAGAAGGCTGCAATGCATATGCATTTTGTTTTGCTGTGGCCTTTTTTTGTAGTGGAACAAACTACAGACTTTTGTAGTGGAAAGATTATTTTTTTTCTGGAGTACTCTGGAATTCTACTGAACTTCTGCCTTTCTTTAACCTTGAAGTTTCAAATCAATGTTTATATTTGAAAAAAAATGAAGGCAAATAGTAAACACTGGTTTCCTCATCTGTGTCAGCTTCAGTAACAGAGTCATTCTAATCTACTGTATGAATTGTCCTGGGTTCAGCTGGTTCAGTACCAGCTGTGTGATTCTGAGTTGACAGCTGGGCTTAAACCATGTCATGAATATAGATTTATTTTTTTCTTTATATATGTACTTTCTATTGAAGTAAAGCTAGAAAAAAAATATTTTTTAACATAGCCAGAGGTGGCTGTATACTTTGTCTTCAAAGATAGCATGTGAATCCAGAAGGAGCCTTGTGTCCTGTCTTTAGGCACACTGTACTTGTATGTCTAGTCTATTTTTCATGGGATGCCTATGTATGGGTTTTTTTAGGTTTTTGGTGGTGGTGGCAGCTTGTTGCTTGTAGTGGCTAATTTTATAATAAAATGGAAGTACACTTTTGTGAAAATTATGAGGTTGAGGGAAAAATTGCTCAGTAGACATCGTTTGTGGCATAGATGGTTGCTCTCAAAGGGTGCTAGGCACCCACAGAAGAGTGTCATGTTTGGAATTGGAATTGATTGGAAGATGCTTCCTTGTCCACATGCAGGAAGGAACTTTATGGCAAGACTCCTTACAACCATGCCTCAAGCACTGACAAGGAAAAACAACCTCATGCAAATACATGCATTGTTTGATTTAAGTGCTTCGACTTTTATCTCCTTCCCTCCCCCCCACCCCCCTGCCTTTTTTTTTTTCCAAAGCAGGTTGCTGGTGTGCTGTGACAGAGAGAAAAAGTGGGGGACTTGGATCACTAAGGAGCATTATCAGAGATCTTCATTACTCTGCCCTTAAAAAATGTCAACAAGTTTAAAAACCCAAACTTGAGCTCTGCTGGCTGAGCTGTTTCTGTAATTCCACTAGAGCAGCTGCAGTACTGAAAATGAAAATAGGATGACTAAGAAAGCTGTTGCTATTCAGGTTAACAGTTGTAATTGAAAGTAAAAGCCTGTGGTCTGTGCTGTTTTCATTTACCAGTAAGCCATACAAAATGGCATTAGTGTAACACCACCAAAGTCCTGGCTGTGTGATGAGCACTGCATTTCCATTTTGCTGACTGACTTACCCTGGGGACTTCACTTGTGACCAGTTTTGCTTGAGGTCTTTTAATTGTTATTTGTGTCAAGGTTACACCTAGAAGTTCAGCTATAGTCACAAGCCAGACCCCTTCGGCTGAGTAGCACCTGGCACTGTGTAAAAGCTTTTCCTCACCCCGGGGTGTTATTTAACTTGGAGGAAGACAATTACTCATGTTGAGTGCCCACTAAAGTAATATAAAAGAGGAGTTTCTGCTTTCCTGTAATGTAGCACTGATAGTGCAGGTTATTGAAGTTTGCCTGAACCTACTGTTTCAGAGCAGAAACTTCAAGTAAATCCAGGTAAAATTATCAAAGGTAGGTAGATGTAGAGCATGAGGTGGAGCTAGGATCCGGAACTGAGCAGGAGTCCTAGTAACAAGCCAAAGGCTTCATGGGCTGGTCACTCATCCCTGATAGGGCAAAGGAAAAGTTTATTTCTGGAAATTTGGTTTACCATGGAATAGGGGAAAAAAAAAGGCAGTAGAAAGAAACAATGAGGCAAAATGGGCAGCTTTTCTGTTCTTGTAGCAATGATAAACCTAATTGCAAGGCAGCTGTGTCAAAACCTAACCTCTGTCTGAAAACACACTCAGGCTGACTCTGAAGATGAAGGGAAAGCATTGCTGTGCGTTACTGAAGACCACGTGGCCAGCCAGGGTGTAAGTGAACTAAGAGGTATGATAAATCTATGCCAGGGAAAACAGCTCGCACGCAGACTTCATCAACCTTGTTTTCATGGCTTTTGTGTCTTGTAAACAAGTTGTGGCAGCTGCATGTGATAAATCTCTGCACAGAGCAAAAATAATTACAATAGGAGGGAATCTTGGGACTGGCGTCGCCACCCGTGTGCAGGGGGGGGCTGTCTCTCTGCCTGTTTGGGGGGGTTGGTTGTGGTATCCCACATGTCTCCCAGCTTCTGCCATGAGGTCAATATACACGTCTATAAAACCATTGAAGCTGTAACAGCTGGCCTCATGTGCTATGGGGGAGGGAAGGGACACCCACAGAGCACGAAGCTGGGATAACTCAAAGCTGGGATAACTCTTTTCAGGAGGAGGGCAGTACAGTCCGACACGCTCCCAGGCAATGCCGGTTCTGTGGCCAGAGGGATGCTGCTACCTGGGTAGGAGTGCAGGCAATAACCTCGCTGGAAAAGGGGCCGCAGGAGAAAGCAGAAACCAGGGAGAGAGAGTGTGGGTGGTGGTGGGGAACGCCCACGGTATTCCCCTTGGAGAGGGGGCAGAAGAAAGTGCTGTGCAGCTGGAAGCCCAGGTGCACCATGACCCTGTTAAGTGCCACATTTGTACCTGTGGTATTTGGGCCATTTGCAGTTAACTGTGTGCTGCCTGTCAAAAGTCCATATTCATTCGTCATTTTTCTCACAGTGCTTATGCAGTTTTCTTGTTAACACTTGGAACATATTCCTGGAGTGCTTCATAGTTCTCTTAAAGCTCATCTGGGTTTTCTTTTTCTTTTTTTTTTTCTTTCTCTTTGGCATCTTGAAGTTGTCAGCTTTCCTCCTGGCTTCTGCCAAATAGGGATTACTGGCATGAATACAGCTCCTGTTCACTTTTCAGGACATTACTTGTTTTAAGTCTCTTGTTCACCAATTGCTGGAGTTGTTACATCTATCCTGTTTCGCTGGTTCAGCGTGCTCTTCTGCCATGAATTCCAGTGTTAAGACTGAAGGAAAAGAGATTAGATTAGCTACTCTCTCTAGCAAAACGTCACTTAAAGCTGCTGCTGTTCCAGACATAATAATTGCATCCACGTGTGCTGTATGCAGTTCAGTGTCTGTTCTGGTCCATATCATAAAAGTGAGTGCCTGGATTTCTGTACACACAGAAAATAACACAAAGTGATACTAGCTATACTACAAAGTCAAAACTCAGACTATTTTCTACCTCTACATTTTGCATTCATTTCTGCTTACAACTCAAATCCATTGCATTTAGCCATTTTGCTCACCTTTTTCACTGAAACTGGCTTTACCTGCCTTAAAAAAAACTCCCTTTTACTTCTGAAGCTTTCTAGCACCTTCAGCTCTGAGGCATCAGGTCTGGGACTAAAACTGGCAAGTATCACACGTCTTGCTAGCAGAGCAGGGTAGCTTCCAACAATAGATAAACCTCACAGCCCTTTATAGCACTGCAGTGCTGCCTCACTGTAATATGAATCACGGTTCCTGAAGCTGATGCAGACATGAATAAGTCACATCTGCTTCCAAGCTAATCCCCGTTCTACTGCAGAGCAGGGTTCCTGCCAAATTTAATATGTTTCTACTGACAAACAAAGTGTTGATCTTTCAGGTGCTTACATCAATGTGTAATAAACCTGTAAACATGTACATAGGTAGCAGTGCTTTGAATTAGTGACATAGCCCGGGGGACTGGTGGCAACTTGTGTGCTGAATGAGTGCAGCTGACAACTATCTAACCCTGTTTATTCTTGGACTGCTTCTCTGCAACCACAGACCAGGGCTGTGGCCTCTTTCTCTAATTGCAGCTGAGCCAGTCTCTGCCCTGGGCAATGAGCCTTGTCTGTAGGTGTGTAACAGTGTGACCCTCTCAGGGTAAAGAACCTTGTCTGGGCATATATAAATCCTGCACATGGTTTCTGTAGTGAGCCTTTCATCACATCATTCAGTTGATGATGAATAGGACTGACCTGACTCCAGCGAGAGCTGTGGTTTTGCAGCAGGTATCTATATTTGCATGGCTTCTCTGAGTCTTTCCCTCTCTGCACCACTGCTGGGGAAATACTACCCTGGCAAGTGTTCCTGGAGCTCCTCCATCAGTGGTGTTTCACAGGTTGGCAGGGCTCTGT